TTTTTTTTTATTTAAGTTAGATGTTGAGGAGATCTCTTGGCCATTGCCTTTTTAACCTTCTAGGAATGATGGTAGAGGATAGGCTTTCACCGACCAACACCTACAATCTAAAATCTAAATAAGTGCTCATAGCCCACCATTGAACTATAATATGAATATATGATAATATACCTAGTTATCATATAGTTCAATGCAGCCCACAGGGAATAACAATAGAGAACAGCACCGATAGACTATAGAGTCAGACGGAAAAATGTAGTAGAAACTAGAAAGCGAAAGTCCTTCAAGGGTTATAAAAGCTAAAGAAAAACTTTTTAAACAATTTTTTTAAGCTAAACATAATCCCAAAGCACCCCCCTCCCCTGCAATATTGCCTTTTGTTTATAAACCATTGGCAGGTGATCTTTTTAAAAAAAAAACCTTAGTCACACCACTGTTAACATGACGTACTACCGTGATGATCGAATCATTTAAGCAATATTTCTTTTCTATTTAGTTCATATTATTGACATTTCTTTTTAATTTAATTTATATTATTAACATTTTTTTTTTTAATCTTAATTTTCAATTCATACCTATTATAATATGACATACGAAATAATTTAATGTAGGTAAGACAATTATTGAACTGTTATTATGTTTCTATTCAATGCGTACGACATTTATCGTGATAACACAGTGATAACTTGATAATATTTCAAATTGGAAATATTAAATAATTTAAAAAAAATTAACTGGATTGTCTAAAATATATTTTTTTGGAAAATTGACAGTCAACAATACATTAATGACATTCTGTTGGTAATTGAAATTAAGGACGCAAATTTATTTTCCTAATGAAGGTAATTTCTTATACCTAACTATCAATGTATTTTTATTTCTTACTTCAAATTAAAATAAATGCAAATTCTCTTGATATCAAGTATAAATAATTATTGTAAGTATCTAACCTATCATAATCCACAGAAACTATTGAAACTTGAAAATCACTGTGGAACTGGTGAAACACATATAGCTTGGCAAAAAGGAAGTGGTACTTACCTGGCTGTAACAAGTTCCGATCAGTATATTGAAATTTACAACCGCAATGGAAAATTAATTGAAAAAATCAAAATTTCAGGGTAGGTATTACAGAATCATTGAATTAATAATGTTTATTATTTTATGTATTATTTGCAAATATACTACAAAATTATACGAATAAAAACATTTTGAATTAATAAATATTTTTTTATATTTCAGAATATGTACTGGTTTAGCATGGGATCGTGATGGCGATTTATTAGGAATAATATGTGATGGATCATCTAGTTTTATGTTGTGGGATGCTAATTCATCCAAAACTCAACTAATAAATCCAGTTTTCAAAGACAACCTCACATGTATAATATGGTCAAAAGTCAATCAAACTGTTGCTGTAACTTCAGCTAAAGGAAATCTAACAATCTATGACTATGCAACTACTAAGTTAGAATATAATTTTTAGCTTATTTTATTTTTTATTAGATGTGTACTATTTGAATCCTTTTTAGACGATTGCCTATACTAGGAAAACATAGTATGAGCATTACATGTGGTGAATGGAACCGAGACAATATACTAGCTTTGGGATCACTGGATCAAACTGTATCCATAAGCAATATAGAAGGCGATACATTAAAAATTATATCACTCAGGGGTGAACCATCTAAAATAACATTTTCAAAAATGAAGTCTGACCATAGAAAGCATTCTGAAGAAACTGTAGGTTATATATTTAATTTATTTYGTGAAGTAATTTTCAAATAATTTTTCTGTTTAGGTAAGTGTTTTAGTTGCTAACAAAACTTTATATCTTATTGATTTGCAAGATACAGATAATCCATTTGAACTGGCATTTAACTTAAAATATGGCTCTATAATTACTTATCACTGGTATGGAGATGGMTATATTTTAATTGGTTTTAGCGAAGGTTACCTAATATCTATATCGACCCATCCTAAAGAAGTAGGTAAGGAATTATTTCAAATAAGAAACCACAAAGAAATGTTATCTGATGTTGGGTTATCTAAAATTGCTGGAAAAGTAGCTACATGTGATGAATATACGTAAGTTATTAGATTTAATTCAAGTTTACTATTTTCGTATATTAAATTCAATATAATTATAAACTTTTAGGATTAAAGTACATGAAATCAGTAAATTACAAGAAACTACAGCAGTACTAAATGTCGACGAAGGCGATGTTCTTAGTCATGTTTTATGGAGTGAAGATGGGCGGCTATTGGCCGCTTCTACATCAGATGGTGGTGTTTATCTTTATTTAGAAGCCTTACCTATGGTATCATCATCATACAAAAATTGTGTTGCATTTTTAACATCTTTAAACCAAGTTACTATACACTATTGTCATTTAGACAAAGTCAGTTCTCCTAATATCAATAATATTGACTTTTAATAATTTTAATTATAATTAATATTTTATAATCTAGAATCAACCACCAGATTTGGTCTCTATTACTACAGAAATGGAACCAAGCTTYTTAAGTATTGGTCCTCATCATTTAGCTGTTGGTTTGA